CCAACCTTCCTTCCGAGGAGTGGCTGGTGGGTTTGAACCGCCAGCCGTCTGGTTAGCAGGCAAGTGTCTTAGCCACTATGCTACCAGAGCTCCCATAGCTGATATCATCTAGTTGCCCCTTAGACACTGGGGTGATGGCAAATTTTTAACCACTGGCTCTCTGGAAAAATAAAGCGAGGCCTAAGGCATTTGACTGTAACCAGAAGGCTGGCAGTTCAAACTCAACAGGCACTCATTGGAAGGAAGATTGGGCAATCTACTTCCGTAGTGATATTGCCTTGGAAACCGAAGGGGGAGTCGCTACGAGTTGGATCTGACTCGATGACAGTGAGTTTGGTTTGATTTTGGTTTGGTAGCATTTGCTGATTTCCATGGTGGAAAATCTCTCCCATGACTGATTTATGGAAAATATCAAGCATGATACCACTGAACTTGGAGATGGGAAGGGATGCCCACCCAGTGGAAACTATGTTCTTTCTGTAGACGTGTGTCCCTGGACAATAGTATCACCTGGGAACCAGATGAAATGAAAATTCTCAGGCCCACCCCAGACCAACTGAATCAGAAAGCAGTGGTGGAGCCCAGCAATCTGTTTTTAACATGTCTTCCAGGAGATTCTGATGAAGGCTTTCTTAAAATACCATTTGACTCCACTGCCAGTATGCTTAGTGCTGTTAGCAGTACACATGTTTACAAAAAGTCACAATCCTCTGTAAGGATGTTCAAAGAAATAAGCTGGGAAAGTGTGCACGCCACTTTCGTTCTACTGATAAAGGAAAAATTACCACATCTTTGGTTTTTATAAACCCACTTGAAGCTATGTTAACTATTGTCTTCATACATACTTCCATAAAATAATTGTCCTCATTTCAATGAAACCATACCTGGCATCTGAAATGGAATATTTTTAAGTTGGAAAAAAAAAAAAAATCCCACAGAGACAATACTTTTTCTGATTCTATCAGATATCTTTTAACTATACTAAAGCCAGCATAGTGCCTAAGGCACTTGATTGCTAACTAGAAGGCTGGTGGTTAAAACCTGCCAGCCACTCCTCAGAAGGAAGGTTGGGCAATCTAATTCCGTAGTGATACTGCCACAGAAACCCAAGGAGGGGTCACTATGTGTCGGGTCCGACTCGATGGCACATAACAACAAGAACACACTAAAGCCATTTCCTCTAGTGTTGAAAATTAATGAGCAACTGAAAATATGCACCTGATGTACAAAATTACTACCATATGTGATGCAAGAACAGCACATTAAATATTGCATTGTTTATAAAACAAACTTCTACCAAAGTGAATTTTACATAGTATAATAAGAATGAAGTTGGACTTAAACAGAACAAATTATTTGAGGTAAGAATATATAAAAATAAATCTTTTAAAACATTTGTCTGATGTGCTTTTAATTTAATATGAAGAGGAAACACATCAAGATTTGAAAATTTAATTCAACTCAGCAGATGTATCTATATTAAGCAGCTTAAAGGGAAGCTGATTGCAACAGTGTTATTGGTGGATTTTACTGAAATGATAGAGAAACAGGGCCTTTCATCACAGAATCTAGTCTCTAGTAAGAGCCTGAGCGAGGACAGAGGCAATTGGATAAATCCAAGAAA